GACAGATATCAATAGAGGGTGCTGTCCTCATTAAACTTGGGCATTCTATTGGTCGTGATTTTTCTAACCAATGAAGAAGGAAGAATTAGAAGACGAAGATTATCCGTTTACTTTTTTTTGTAGTATTTTATAGATACAGAAAACAGTGATATTTGAATGGATATAGCACTAGTAGAAAATGATTATGTTCTACCGACTGCAATCTATAAACATGATTGGATTCATATTCTTTATATGGTCATATGTATTATATTCTTTATGATTCAAGTCTGTCAACGTATATCTGTAGATCTTTATTACTCATCAAGTAAGTATTCATGTTTACGAGTCTGTTTCAATAAACATATATATTCTATATAGAAGATTTCAAGACTGATTTTTATATTCCATCTCTCAATCGACATCCGACGGAATTAACTCCAACACTTTCAAGTATTTCATATATTTGGTATCTTGTTTTTATTTGGCAGGTAAAAATCAATAAAAATTTTTGAATATTTTTTTTTACATACGTCAACATTAATCTAGGCTGCATGGATAATATATTCAATAATTGGTATTTTTCGTCGTACATCATCAGGTACTTATTTCTATCAACATCCATGTGCTATGAATAAATGGTGTTATTTCTATACTGTATTTGGTCTTATTTTATTTACACCACAATTGGCAGCTGCTGCACGAAATAAATATGGAATTGGAGTAAGAAAAACAAAGCAATTAAGTCTTTTTTCTAAAACGAATCTCTTATTTTTATATTAGATTTCAATATTTCGTTATGTGGGAACATTATGTGAATTAATTATTATTCTAGTCGTTGTTCATGTATCATTATGGGAAAATTTAAAAAGTTATTTGCGAAATAGATTGTATGTATCACTTGGTTTTTTTTTGTTGTCTATAATATATTAAGAAAAAAAAACCGATAATTATTTGTATTGTTTAAGTTTTGTCGATGTTTGGTTAACACGATTATTATATCATAATGGTTTAGCATTATGGGCATCTGTTCTTTTCTATGAAAGTTGTTTATCAATTATTATAGGTCTTATTTATAGTGATTTGGTTTCACCACCAACAGCTTCTATTATTGGATGTTTTCTTCTTTTATTTGGTTTTATTACTCTTTCTATTCTTGAAAATGTTGCTTTTTATAATTCACTTGCGTTTACCCTATCACCGTGGCTCACATTTTTATGGCTTTTAGGAGGTATTGTTTTTCGTTCACATGATGAATCATCCTCATCGGTTTTTGTTATTTGGTTTGTTCGTTTTATTTTTTGTATAACATGTATATTAACATGTGTTCGTTTGTCCTTGTTTTTATGGAGATATAAAAAAAAAACTATACCAACGTTTCAGTCACCAAGAATCTACAGTTTTGTTGTAGAACCAAGAGCTTTTTAAATAATTAAGTGTTTATCCTGTATTAACTTGTTAGTACTGTACAGTATTTAATGTTTTATTTTTGGTTTTTTTTGTTAATAAATACAAAATAGTGAATGCTTAGTAAAAATAAAATTATTTGTATACATATAAAAATTAATAAATGTCATTATTCTTGTTATAAATATTTTATTTCAAGGATCTTTTCATACTCAATACAAATGATCATGATCAAATCAAGTGTATTCAGTTATAATTATAATTATCAATTAAATCACTTATTTATATTATGTTTTGAATATGAACTAATGATTCTTTTTCCAGTAATGAACGAAGTATTACATAAAAATTATCGTGTTATATTTTGGAAAGTATCTAAAATATCTTAAGAAAGTCGATTGCGTCATTTGTTCATTGTTTGAATGTCAATCAGAAGAAGTGACATAACTGATAAGTCAATTTTATTTCATAGCTTGTGTTAAGATTAGTTTTGCTTAAATTGAATGAAACCCTATTTTCTCCTCATCAATATGTAATCAAATGCTCTATTCTACGTTTATCTCTGAATAAAAAGGTCATGTAGAAATTTTGACCCAATGGAATTAAACACAAGGTAGACCTATCAATGAATACTTCAAATTCAAAGTCAATAGATTGTCTTCAATTACTAATCTAAGATCAATTTCTTTTTTTTTTGTTCTTTTCAAACATTAATAGGGATTTAGTTTCAATTGATGCGAGTAATTCAACTAGATCATTTTCTATTTATAGTAAGTACCATCAGTCGAACAAGTGACTTTTATCAACGCATACTTGGTATGAAATCAAGTAATAAAAATGAATGTTGATCTCTCGATTTTGAAATGCAAGAGATTAGTTTACATGCACTTGGTCACGAGTTCGAGCTGAATACCGAATGGTCTACATATAGATTGGCTAATCTATGTTTTCGTACTGAAATACCTTTGTCATAAGGAATTGAACATCCACAAAAATCAAATGTGTCTATCATGGAAGGTCCAATTCGACGAATGAACACACAATGATTATCACTTTCTGTTTATTTTCATGATTTTGACCTTAATTTAATCATATTTTTGATGAATATTCTAAATAAACTGGTGTGTATCATCTTTCTATCATACTATTAGATAAAAATGAATAATTGTTAAAAGGATAAAATCATTTGAAGTAATTTCGTAGCAACAAACCTATTTTGAGATTGTTTGTATAAAACTTTGCGCCGTTTGCTTTATTAAAAATAAAGATAGACTAATGGATGTAAAGAATTCAAAGATATATGTTGTATTAGATATTTCTTATCTGTTATGTTTTTGTTTTCGAGAATGATGTGATATGCGATGATGTTTATGATTGGTTGAAAATATTCATGAAGATTTAGATAGAAATTAATATAATTTTGTTTTTGATTCTCTTCTAACTTTTTTGCCGATTTATAAAAAAGGATAAATCCGATAAAGTTATTGCTTCAGAATATATATATAAATTAATTGGAATATATTTTCTCAACAGTAGAAATAAAATTTTCCAACAGTTTTATTCCTTTAGCTTTGAATAAATAAAAATAAATCTGTAGAGCAAAATTTGTATGATTTATTTTTACGTTTTACAACTTATCAATTAGAATATTCGTATTTAGTTTAAGTTTAATATCGTTCTTGTTGATTCCATGCTAAGATAAAA